ACTTCTAGTAATATGTTGAACAACAGTGGTGAGATTGAACATCCCTGCGGTGTTCCTAACTTTAAGGGGAAAGCCCTCAATTTTCCCCATTGAGAATAATATTTGTTGTGGGCTTTTTGTATATGGCTTTTATGATATTGAGGTATATTTCCTCTATCCCTACACTGCTAAGAGTTTTAATCAAGAGAGGATGCTGTATTTTGTCAAATGCTTTTTCTGCACCAAATGAGAGTATCATATATTTCTTGTCCTTTCTTTTATTAATATAGTGTTTTACATTGATTGATTCACAAATTTTGAGCCACCCTTTCAGCCCAGTAATAAATCCCACTTGGTTGTGGTGAATAATCCTTTTAATGTACTGTTGGATCCTACTGGCTAGTATCTTGGTGAGAATTTTGAATCCATGTTCATGAGGGGTATTGGTCTGTAATTCTCCTTTTTGCTGGGGTCTTTGCCTGGTTTTGCAATCAAGGTAATGCTGGCCTCATAAAATGGGCTTACACGTTTTCCTTCTATTTCTATTTTTTGAAACAGTTTCAGAAGTGTAGGTATTAATTCTTCCTTAAATGTTTCTAGAATTCTGCTGGGACGCCATGAAGGCTTGGACTCTTGTTTGTTGGGAGATTTTTTATTACTGCTTCAATTTCCTTGCTGGTTATGGTCTGTTCAGGTTTTCTATTTCTTCCTGGTTCAGTTTTGGTAGTTTATATGTTTCTAGGAATGCATCCATTTCTTCCAGATTCCCAAACTTGTTGGCAATTTGCTCATAATATTTCCATTTCTTCAGTGTTGGTTGTGATCTCTCCTCTTTCATTTGTGATTTTATTTCTTTGGGTCCTTTCTCTTTTCTTTTTGATAAGTCTGACTAGGAATTTATCAATCTTACTAATTCTTTCAAAGAACCACCTTCTTGTTTCATTGATCTGTTCTACTGTTTATTTTGTTTGTTTGTTTGTTTTTTTGGTTTCTAATTCATTGTTTTCTGCTCTAGTCTTTTTTATTTCTCTTCTCCTGTTGGATCTAGATTTTATTTACTATACTTTCTCCAGCTCCTTTAGGTGTAATGTTAACTTGTATATTTGAGACTTTTTTTGTTTCATGATAATGGCTTATATTGCTATATACTTCCCTCTTAGGACCACCTTTGCTGCCTCCGAAAGATTCTGAACTGTTCTGTTTTCATTTTCATTCGCTTCTATGATTTTTTTAAATTTTTTTTAGTTTCCTGGTTGACCTATTCATTCTTTAGTAGGATGTTCTTTAACTTCCATGTATTTGTGTTCTTTCCAAATTTTCTTTTGTTATTGAGTTCAAGTTTTAAAGCATTGTGGTCTGAAACTATGCAGTGGTCTGAAACTATGCTGAGTATAATCCCAGTTTTTTGGTACCAGTTGAGACCTGATTTGTGGTCCAATGTGTGATCTATTCTGGAGAATGTTCCATGTGCACTCGAGAAGAAAGTGTATTCTGTTGTTTTAGGATGAAATGCTCTGAATATATCTGTGAAACCCATCTGGTCCAGTGTGTCATTCAAAGCCTTTGTTTCCTTGATCTTCTGCTTAAATGATCTGTCCAATACCCTGAGTATCATTATCAATGCATTTCTTTAATTTTTGTTATTAATTGGTTTATTTAACTAGCTGCTCTCATGTAAGGGGCATAAATATTTACAATTGTTAGTTCTTCTTGCTGGATAGACCCTTTAATTATGACATAGTTCCCCTCTTCATCTCTTATTAGTCTTGGGTTTAAAATCTAATTTATCTGTTATAAGGATTGCTACCTCAGCTTTCTTTTAATGCCTATTTGCATGATAAATGGTTCTCCATCCCCTCATTTTCAATCTGTAGTTGTATTTGGATCTAAAATGAATCTCTGGTAGACAGCATATCAGTGGGTCTTGTTTTTTTGTTTTTCTTTTAATCTAATCTGATACCTGTGTCTTTTGATTAGAGCTTTTAGCCCATTTACATTCAGAGTAACTATTGAAAGATATGAATTTTGTGCTGTTGTATTACCTGTAATGTCTGTTTCTGTAGATTGTCTCTGTTCCTTTATGGTCTTTGCTACTTTTTGTCTCTCTTCACTCAAAGATCCACTTTAATATTTTTTGCAGGGATGGCTTAGTGATCACAAATTCTTTTAGTTTCTCTTTGTCTTGCAAGCTCTTTATCTCTCCTTCCATTCTGAATGACAGCCTTGCTGGATAAAGTATTCTTGCCTGCATATTTTTCTCATTTAACACCTTGAATTTGTTATGTCAGTCCTTTCTGGCCAGCTGGGTCTCTGTGGATAGGTCTGCTGCCAGCCTTCTGTTTCTATCCTTGTAGTTTAAGGACCTCCTGTCCTGAGCTGCTTTCAGGATTTTCTCTTTGTCTCTGGAATTTACAAGCTTCACTATTATATGTCAGGGTGTTGTCCTAATTTTATTGATTTTGAGGGGGGTTATCTGTGCCTCCTGAACTTGAATGCTTGTTTCCTCCCCCAGATTAGGGAAGTTCTCAACTATAATTTGTTCCAATATACCTTCTGCCCTCCTTTGTTTTCTTCATCTTCTGGAACTCCTATTATTTGAATATTGTTGCACTTTATGGTATCATTGATTTCTCAGAGTCTCCCCTCATGATCCAGTAGTTGTTTTTCTCTCCTTTTCTCAGCTTTCTTACTTTCCTTACTTTCCATCATTTTGTCTTCTATATTGGTGACTCTACTGCCTCATTTATCTTCACTGTTAGAGCCTCCATTTTTGACTGCCTCTCAGTAATTGCATTTTTAATTTCAAACTGATTATATTTTAGTTCTTTTATTTCTACATTAAGGAATTCTCTAGTGTCTTTTATTTCTCTAGTCATTACTCAGTGTGCACACCATCGCATCCCTGATATTACTCTGGGAACCAAACGTCTTCCTCTTCCCTGCTGAATGGCTTCCCAGTCCCCCAATTCAGGGTTCCATACCTCGCCTCTGCCGAATTCTCTCATTCCAAATGTGCGAATTTTTTCTGTTCTCCTCCAATTTTCTTCCGAGTTGTTCAAAATAGTTGAAAATTGATTTAGTTGTATTTGAAGGACGAAGCAACTTCAGGGTTCCCCTACTACTCCACCATCTTTGAACTTCCCTGGGGCTACTTTTATGAGGACAGTAACCTCATATACGAGGGCCCCGCCCTCATGATCTAATCATCTCCTAAAAGCCCCACTTCCAAATACAACCATCTTGGGTATTAGGTTTCAATATATGAGTTTTCAGGGCACACAAACATTCATTCTATAGTAATGGTCTTCAAATGTTTTCATATCTCCATTTGAAAAAAGTGACTGACAGCCAAAACTAAATTTATGAAAGTATACTAATTCTACCATGAAAATTCTTAGTATCTAATTGCATGTGATTTTATTATGTCTAAATTTCTTAAATAATTATCTCTAAATTGTATCTTTCACACTCCTAGTAGTTAGTTATTTGTGTTGATCTATTGTTATATAGCAAACTGTCCCTAAACTTTGGAGCATAAAGCAAAAACCAATTATACTTTATATTTTTTAGGTCAGGAATTTGGGTCATTCACAGAAGAGATTATCTCTGCTCCACAATGACTGGTGCCTCTGGGGTGGTTCAAATGTCTGGAGATGGCTGGGATGGCTCATATAAGGCCATAAGCTGTAATGTCCAGAATGAATTCTTCACATACATATCTGGCACCTGAACTAGAGTAGTTGGAACACTTAGGCCTTCCTGGGTATTGTACTTTCTTTCTATGCAGTCTTTCCACATGGCCAGCTTGAGCTTCCTCATGGTATGGAAGTCTCCCAGTAGTCATACTTCTTTCAATACAGCTGATTTTCTCCAGAGTGAGTATTCCAATGGAACAAGGTGGAAACTTCAAGGTTTGGTTACTCAGGGCCTACCTATATTCACTGTGGTAGTGAAATACAAAAGAGTCTTAATACTAAGAGATGAAGTCCATTAAGAGGGTTATCTTTGGAGATTAGCCACTACATATGGGAATGTTGCAAACAAAAGTACCACTACATCTGGTTGAATGGAGTTAACACCGTCACTAGGTGTCATGAATCTTTTGTTTGGAAACAAATGCTTCATCTTCATATTTTGACATATATATTCTGCTGTAATTACCATAAAATATGTATAGTTTGCTTTTATAATTACCATTAACTGTTATCCATACCATGTAACTATATTTTGTAGAGGGTAGAATCTATTTAAATTAATTCTAATACAGGGGCACCTGGGTGGCACAATCAGTTAAGCATCCAACTCTTGGTTTTAGCTCAGGTAATGATCTCAGGATCATGAGATTGAACCCCATGTTGGGCTCCATACTCAGAATGGAGTCTGCTTGAGATTCTCTCTCCCTCTTTCCTTCCAGCTCATGCTCTCTCTCTCTGTCTCTCTAAAATAAAATAAAATAAAATAAAATCTTCAAAGAAATTAATTACTTAATTCCAATACAGAATTTTGCCTCTAAAATTCTTGAAAAAGATTATTTGTACTTTTAATTTTCTAAACCTACATGATTGAATACATTTGTGCTATTATTTACTGTTTCAGCCCACCAGAATCTTATAACTATAGCAATAAAATTTTGTTATATTTATCCATACTTATTTTCAAAAAATGAATTATTGTCAAATAAATAATAATAATAATGATAAATCCATTTTTGAATACTGATCAGAATTTCCAATATGCTCAAATGTCTAAAAAGGCTGACAGCTTCTTACTTTAGAATAAGCTGACTTTTGTGTATTTGGATGTACCCTGTTTCAAGAAATAATAAAAGCAAGTCTACTGCCAGGTGAAGCAGGTTTGAACACAAGGCTGACTCTTCATAAAAGCCTGACAGTTTTTACAACTCAAGATCATGTTAATGTTACTTCACTAGATATCAGAAATAATACATTTTCTAAATTGGATGCATTAGGCAATTATTCAGATCAGAACTGAAACCCTATAATTTTCATTCTTCCTTTCAGTCGCAGCGGCATGTCACATTTCACTTACCAGAAGGATCTCAGGAAAACAGCAGTGATGGTGGACTGGGAGACCATGATGTGGGGATTCCCAGCACATCCCATGCCCTGCCCCTTGGCTATCCTCAGGAGCAGTACTTTGATCATACTGCACCCAATAACCGCACTGAAGGGGATGGCAACTCTGATCCTGAATCCTGTAAGTGATAACCTGTTTAGTCCTGCAGGATAAATGGACTTATTGTGTTTGTTAGTCAAACAATTGGAGCTACAATGACGCTGAGCATTTAATATTAATATGAGTATTTATAATTTTTAAAGGTAAAAATACAGAATTATGTGGAAGGTATATATGCATCAGTTTATAATATATGAACTGTGTGATCATATCTACTTCAAAAGTTATTATGAAATTTAAAATACTCATTTTCTTTAGGCATAGATAAGATTTTTTATTTTTATATACATATAGATATGTATACATATGTATGTAACCAGCCACTTCATTTTATGTTATTTATTTAATTTAAGTACATATAAATTATTTTTATAATTCATATGAATTATTTTTAGAATTTATTTTTCATTTTAGTAGAGATAATAACCATAGGCATTTTTTAATTAAACACATTTTTTCACCATTGAGGATGATAATATCTGTGGGTTTTTCATATATGGCCTTTATTATGTTGTATAACAAAGAAACTTATTAAAGTGCAAGAAGCACACTATTCCACTTTAAATGAATTTCTATTACCTTAATATGGCATACTAATGATATTTTTGACATAGCACATGTGTGTGCTTTGATTAAAAACAAACAAAAAATAGCAGATCAAAATTTGCCATAGCAAAATAATCTCTTCTAACACAGATGATAAGGTACTTTGATTGTTCAAGAAGAAACTCTATAACTCTGAAACAGTACATAATTATGGATTTTATGATATGGAGTAGATACTAATAAACTGTGCAGTTTTAGTCCAAACACCACAAATAAGAATGTAAGCTGTTAGAGGAAATAAATGCTGTCCTTAAGCAATCAAATTATTTTACACAGTTCCCATTTCATATTTTGAAATGCTTTGCATCCTGAATCTGCTTTCTTTTCTGCTAATGAATTGTCCAAAATAGTACACAGTACTGAAAATTCCTTGTAAGGTCACAAAAACATAGAAATACATCTATGAATAAGATTTTCCCCAAAATTTGCTAAAGGTATTTATTAATGTTCCTTTATTTTTTTAAGTTTATTTTATTTATTTTTATTATGTTCAGTTAGCCAACATATAGTACATCATTAGTTTTTGATGTAGTGTTTAACGATTCATTAGTTGTGTATAACACCCAGTGCTCATCACAACATGTGCCCTCCTTAATACCCATCACCCGGCTATCCCATCTCCCCATCCCCTTCCCTTATGAAACCCTCGGTTTGTTTCCCGGAGTCCAGAGTCTCTTATGGTTTGTCTCCCTCTCTGATTTCTTCCCATTCAGTTTTCCCTCTCTTCCCCTATGATCCTCTGCACTATTCCTTATGTTCCACAAATAAGTGAAACCATATGATAATTGACTTTCTCTGCTTGACTTATTTCACTTAGCATAATCCCCTCCAGTTCCATCCATGTCAGTGCAAAAGGTGGGTATTCATCCTTTCTGATGGCTGAATAATATCCCATTGTATATATGTACACATCTTCTTTATCCATCCCTCTTTTGAAGGGCATCTTGGCTCCTTCCACAGTTTGGATATTGTGGACATTGCTGCTATGAACATTGGGGTGTATGTACCCCTTTTACACTGTTGGTGGGAATGCAAGCTGGTACAGCCACTTTGGAAAACAGTATGGAGGTTCCTCAAGATGTTCAAAATAGAGCTACCTTATGACCCAGCAATTGTGCTACTAGGTATTTACCCCAAAGATATAGATGTAGTGAAAAGAAGGGGCATATTAATGCTCCTTTAAAATACAGTTCCCAGGTTGATAAAAATCTGCTGATTAGATAATAAAATTATGGTATCCATACTCTTGAGTCTTTTGCCAAGACTATTAAATGTTCTTTTTATGTTAAAGAAGAAACAAGCAAACTGAATCTAATTATTTCTCTTTCAGAAGACAAGTTTAATAAAACATCCTGTCTCATTCCATTTGAAAGCTTTTTGAATTTTTAAATTTCATAGTTGCAATCACCTGACTTTAGCCTTTGGTATGAGGGTCAAAGCCTATGTCCCAGAGCTTTCTCTAATCATAACCCCAACAAATTTATGTGTACCATTTTCAACAGACCCTGCTCTTTAAACTTAGATAATTTGATAAAAATATAAATAAAAATCTAAATCATAAACAGCATTATTGGTTGCTGCTGGGTTTCTGTGGATACTCTAACAGATAAGTCTTTGGCTTCTCAAAAGATTTTATGGAGACACAGAAGAGTGTAGACCTAGTAGAGAACAGAATGTGACTTTGTACTACTTGGAATTTTATATATCATGATATAGTATTAACTAAGAGGTCTGGAGACCATGTGATCCCCTTGGGACTATTCTAAATACAGTAATCTATATATGGCCTTATGTTCATATCTACTTATTTACAAGTAATGTAAGGTAAAACATAATTTGAGGAGAGTTAAAAATGCTTTTTCTTTTCTTTTTTTTTTCAATTTCTTTTTTTAATTAACATATAATGTATTATTTGTTTCAGGGGTACAGGTCTGTGATTCATCAGTCTTACACAATTCATAGTGCTCACCATAGCACATACCCTCCCCAATGTCCAT